GAAGCAGCCCTTCCGGCCGCACTGGGCTCTGGTGGCCTAGGAGGCAGAGCCGCCGGAAACAGCAGCCTCTGTGTGGGACTAGCTGCCCGATCACGGAGTCGGGAGTCGGAAAACCAGCTCTCGGAGGAGGATTGGTCCCGGGTCATTCCCGGGGAACCACCGGGAATCGGTGCCTCCACGGCCACGCTGAGCCTTGGTGGGTTAGAGGTTCTGAGCCCAGGGTGGGTCGTGTTGAACCTGAAATTGATTTCCGCCTGAGCATTTATGGCCCTTGTACAGTGGGGCCTTGACTTACAAGTGTCCCGACTAACGAGTTTTTCTAGATACGAGCCGTCTCTGGCCGATTTTTTCCTTTGAGTTGCGAGCTAAAATTCGGGTTACGAGCCAGCTTCAGATACCCCACCGCTAGTTGGCGCAGCGAACGTCACAGTGAACGCCACAACATCAGCCCAGCATCAGTGTCTCACTCGTTCACTTTATGATTTGACATACGAGTAATTTGAGTTACGAGCTCCATCACGGAACGAATTAAACTCGTAAGTAAAGGCCTCACTGTATTACCTCTGTTTTCCCTTGTGGTGAGGTTCGGTCCTGTTTTTCTCTCCTGATCCCCAGTGGGGGGCACACAGAGCATACTGCACTGCAGGGCTGCAGCAGGTGAGCCCCGGGGCTGCGCCTGCGGATCCTCTGTGGAAGGCTTGTTTCACAGATAACGCGGGCCCCCACCTGCACCATCCGCGCGCTGACTCAGCGTGGGCAGCCGAAGGGGCGGCTGGCAGAAACGCCCCCTGCCCCTCGCCGTGCCCTGTGGCCGGGTCCAGTGTTGGACGGCGTCCGCACCCGAGCATGTGTCTTCCTCGTATCCCATGAACTTGCTTGGTTGTGAGATGGCAGTCGTGTTGGGGAGTCACCTTTCCTCGGGGTGACTCCAAAACAGTGGGGGTGGGAAATGATGGGTGAACATGGTCTCTGGGAGGGAGGGTTCTGAGGGGTGTTGCACGTGGAGGATCCCCGTGGGACTGCACCCAGGTGCCCGCAGCGGGGCCTGCCCGTTACCTAGATTGTGTTGGCTCTCCCTGTCCTGTCTCCCATCCCCACCCCAACACCCGTGCTGAAGCCACAGTCTGGTCTCAGGGTCTGCTGTGATGGGAACCCAAATAACAGGTGCAAAAACCCCTAATGAAATACTATCAAACTGAACTTTACATCACAACCAAAGTGATGTACTCTAGGGAATAAACCTGTAGTTAAAAATACTGTAATGTACACATTTGTTATTGAAAAATTTGTCAAGAGAGTAGCCCTCATGTTGTACTCTTCCCTCAGTAAAAAAAAAATAAAGAATAGAAATGTAAACACCCCGGCCAGTGTGGCTCAATGTTTGAGGGTCGACCCAGGAACCAAGAAGTCACCAGATCGATTCCCAGTTGGGGCACGTGCCCGGGTTGCAGGCTCAGTCCCCAGTAGGAGGTGTGCAGGAGGCAGCCAATCAATGATGTTTCTCTCTCATCAATGTTTCTATCTCTCTATCCCTCTCCTCTTTCTAAAAATCAATAAAGGAAAAATATTGTTTAAAAAGTTACAGGGCAGTAATCCCATTGGTGTTCGTGCCCACTGATCTGTCCACCTGTCCGTCCATCTATCCATCCATCCACTCACTCCAAACTTTTCACTCGGGTTATTTCTAGTAAATGACAATAATGGGTTTTATCGTAGTGAGGACGGGAGTTTCACTATCAGATATGTTTCTGTTGTATGGTTTTTTAAAATAAGTAACATTTTAATATTTATAATGTCATGATATTTCTATTTTTAAATGAAAGCATGTCCCATGATCAGCTAATATGCTTTTATTTTCTTGCCTCTGAACCCTCACATGTGCCTCAAAACTCAGCCCCCAAGTCACTTTCATCTCCCCTGGTCTCCCATGAGTCCCGCCCGTTCCCACTGAGTCAACTCTGCTGATGTCTTAGGTAGCGGCCAGCGCTGTCGTTAGAACAACAGGGCACATCTCCAGACAGTCCTAACCACACCACTGCCACCAACCTTGGACGCCCGAGGCAAAGAGGTGCATGCTGGGAGGACAGAGATGTAGCCTAGGACCCAAGGGCAGAAGTGGGTCTCAGGAACCATCAGGACTCAGATGGTTCTCTCATTTCTGCCATCTTTGTAAGACGCCAACCTCGGGGGGCAGCGGTTTTGTCCCGTTTTTCTGTCCTGCACCCCCAGTGGGGGGCACACAGTAGGCCCTGGGTAAACGTGTTGAATGAGTGAAAGGGGGGCATTGCTGCCTCAGATGTCCTCCTCCCTGCAGGCCGCCAAGAGAGTGAGCAGCTGCCCCCGTTCTCTTTCCAAATTCCTGGGCCGGAGAAGCTGATGGGGCAGCTGGGCGCCACCAGCAGGTGCAGCGCGGGTCTCATCCGCTGCCGGCAGGTCCCACAGAGAAACACCTGTGGAGGCTGCGGGTGGGGTGGGGGACCCCACAGGGGCCCCTGCACCGCCTGCATTTCCCACTGTGGGGGAGCAGGAGAGAGGGGACTTCTCACGCAGACAGGGGCCAGGGTGTCCCGCTGGGAGCCGAGCGAGGCGAGAGTTTGTGGTGACCATTTATGATAAAAGAGGTTGAAAATGAACCAAGGACTTACATTCACGGCAACATCGGAATGATCTGTTCTCTTGCAAGTGAATCCGACCTCAGTGACCTTCCAGCACAGCCCCCATCTGGACGTTAACAAGACATTGCCCCTGGGCAGCAGGACGGAGCCTCCTGGGGCCAGGAAGCTCCCAGACCGCCCAGCGGGAACAAGAGGCTAATGACCCGCCCTCCGCCCAGTTAGGCCGCGATCTGCCGCCTGGGCGCCAATTAGAGCCGCAGCCCTAACCCACGGCCCCAGCTGGCGGGAGCACGGCCTGCAGAGCAGGGAGGGAGGAGTCTTCTGTTCCCCGCCTGTCCTGGGCGTGTCCTGGGCAGCGACCTACAGGAGCCGGAGCTTGTTGGGCCCACCCAGTGGGTGCCCAGCGCACCTCAATGAGACCGGAGCTGAGCCCGTGTCCAGTCAACGCCAGCGGAGGGGCCTGGGGAAGCGGGGGACGAGCTCGGGGGTGCCGTCCCACAGCTCGCCCACACCTGCTGGGGGTGCCACGCCGCCTCACGGGTAGCCCTAGTCCAGGCACTTGGGTCCTGGCCCTTCTGCTGATGGACAGGGCAGTTCTAGACACGCGCAGCTGTTCCCCAAGACGCGCTAGGACCCCGTACAGGCCAGACTTCAGGTCCCACTGGAGCGGCTCCGCCGGGGCCTGCAGAGCCCACAGCACCCAGGAGTGGCCACGGAGGACAGACAGCCACACCTGAGGCTGAGCTCCTGTCCTGTTCATGGCCCCGCCCACTCACCACGGGCAGCCTCCGGCGGGTTGTTCAACTCCCCAGCCCCACTTCCTCATTTAAGGATAAAACCCGTGGCTGGGGTGGTGAGAATGAGGCAGGGCCTGCGGGCGGTTACCGTGGGCAGCGGTGCGGGCCCATCCTCAGCCTCTCGCTCATTTCACCCCACAGGCCTGCTCGGTGCTGCCAGGAGGCAAGGACTGGGTCTCATTTTACAAGGCCTGAGATTGCCCGAGGTCACACAGCCTCATGGGACCCAGGCTGCTTCTTCCACAGCCCCGCTTGGCGGCCTCACGCTTGGCGGCCTCAAGTGCCTCAGAGTGCTGCCCCGGGGGTGCAGGGGTAGGACTGCTCTGGGGGGAGCCAACGGTGTGGGCCACCCAGAGAGCAGGTGGTAAAGTAAGCATCAACGGGTAACTGAGGAAATGACTGCTTGTCCTGGCGGGGATGGCCCAATGGATAGAGCATCGGCCTGTGGACTGAAGGGTCCTGGATTTGATTCCCAGTCAAGGGCACATACCTCGGTTGCAGGTTTGATCCCCAGCTCTGGTCTGGGCATGTGCAGGAGGCAACCAATCGATGTGCCTCTCACATCAATGTTTCTCTCCCTCTGTCTCCCTCCCACTCTCTCTAAAAATCAATGTAAAAAAACCATATCTATTTATCTACAGGTGAGGATTAACAAAACAAAACAAAAAAGAAATGTCTGCTTTCTGACAACTGCAAAACAAAACAAAAAAGAAATGTCTGCTTTCTGACAACTGCTCTTTGGCTGAGTTTTTACATCCAAATGGTGTTTCCTGACAGTTCCAGTACAGTGAGATCTCCTCTGGTGTCTGAAATGGCAAGCGAGGGGGAGGGGAGGTGACCCCAGAGGAAAGTGGGAGGGGGAAGGAGGTGACCCCAGAGGGGGAGGGAAGGGGGAGGGAGGTGACCCCAGAGGGGGAGGGGAGGGGGAGGGAGGTGACCCCAGAGTGAGATGGGAGGGGGAGGAAAGTGACCCCAGAGGGAGAGGTGAGGTGGAGGGAGGTGACCCCCAGAGGGGGAGGGGAGGGGGATGGAGGTGACCCTCGATGGAGAGGGGAGGGGTAGAGAGGTGACCCCAGAGGAGAGGCGAGTCTGAGTGCAGGTGACCTCAGAGCTGAAGGAGAGCGCAAGAGACAGTTGCAGAGAGAGTGAGCCCTCATTCCCTGAGCCCATGCCCACAGCACTGCCCTGAGAGGACGGTTTGTGGCTGCGCTATGGAGAGCTCCTGTGAGCGAGGCCCAGGCCCGACTCACTGACCCCTCTAGCATGAGGGGCAGGCTCGTTAGGGCCCCATCT